GTATTCACCTTTCAGTACACACATTAAGATATGCTCATGAGCCGATAGCATCCAGGTTGCCGAGGCACTTCTTATGGTGGTGATATACAACGGGTACCTTTTTGGCTATTGAGCCATCTGAGTTTGTCTACAGCACGGCAGCATCGCTGACCCTGTCAGGTTCCCAGAGTAAAACGTACCAGCTGGAGTCTATCCAGGGTCCAGCCTAGACCCGGTTTAGGACGTGAGGAGGCTCTCGCCTGTGAGGTGTCCTGGTGGTGGCGTGTTCTGTCCTCGGACTGATTCACCTGCGAGTTGGTATTGTCACCGGTTTGACCGTTCCGGAGTTATCTAGAATTAAAGAAAGGAAAAAGAGATGGCGCAGCCTTTGTTTCTTGGGGGTCAGGGTGAGTTAGCGGATATCCTTACGGAGGAATGGGGCCCACTGTACTGACCGTGAAAGTAGTAGTAGTGAAATTACGCACAGAATCCAGGACACGAACTACGTAATAGGAATCACGGAACACGAGTTAGAAAACCGATGGCACTGGACCGCAATGGCTCGAACTCGCAATAACCCGCAGACTCGAGACACGAGGAAAAAGGCCACAAGACAGGCGAATCATAAAATCGTTTGTTGAAGGAAATGAAAGTGAATATATATGTACACAAGAAAAGATCATTGGCTACCTTAGTTTCCACCAATAATATTGCATCACATCTTGCGTCCTACTGCTCATCTCTGCATTGTATCTGATTGTCTGAAACGGTCCACCAATGACGTGTATCCGGAGGCTATGCACATGCTACTGGCGTCAGCGCTCAAGGTCGATTGACTGCCAATGTCTGAAAACTGTACCGCGCTGCTCCAGGGTAGGCGTGATCTCGTAGGTCCGAATCACCAAACCCACGCTTGAACACAATATACAAGGTGAGTGTATTTCATGCTGAATGTTTTTGAAAATCCTTCCAAACCCATATTGATTTCGTGAAGAGTGTATTTCATGCTGAATTTATGAAAATCCTTCCGAACCCATAATGATTTATGGTGCAATAACTTTATCTGGTGTGTTGCTCCTATATTGACATTTCTCGATCACAAACACCATACATCATTATTTATCTGGTAATTCGATGCCCGGCACATTTGAATTTCGCGTGGTTTGAGAAGGCGAGTGACTGTTTGCCTCTCTCTGGACATCTTATTTGGCTCGCTTGCTTGAGTGCGTTTGGCCGCATATTTGAGGTTTGCTTTACTGTACATTTTGTAATGATTTCGTTAATTCAGTACCGTAGAACATTGTGTTTTTACTTCACGATTCGTATCGGTTCGGCTACGCGTCACTCCAGTGCGAATTGGTTGACGTACAGTAATCAAATTGGAATCAAACGATAAAACTATTTCGAAGATGCCCAGACGAGGAGCCAAGGAAACTGGAACCCAACAGGAAGTAACCCGGCAAGTC